GGCCAATAAAGAATATCCTATCCCATCCCATCCCATCCCATCCCATCCCATCCCATCCCATCCCATCCCATCCCATCCCATCCCATCCTATCCTATCCTTAGTTTGCCTTTGAAGAATTATCCCAATTTTAAAAGGCCTACAAATAATTTGTCCAAAAGTAACATTCAGTCGATTCCCTGATACTTTTGTACAATGCAAGTTACTCTAATTTATTACATTTGCATTGATTATCAATTTGCTTCCAGTCCCAATTCATAGTAATGTTTTGACCTTCAAATAATATAAGATCATCTAATTCCAGGTCAATATTTTGGTATTTTGATCCCTTTTGTAATCAAACACGCTGAGCTCCGGATAAAACTCTACTCTAACACAAATAAAAGCTTATCTAGACAAATGAGCTAGAACTTGTTTGAGTACTTAGAGTAAGATAAATGTGATTAAGTTGAATTTAACTCTGAGCCTGACTTTTATTTTAAGAGATCTATTTTTATTCCTTCACACTACTTTAAACAAATGTATATGATGTTAAATATATTTTTAGTAGAGGCATCCTTCTTAGAGCCTCATTATAAATTACAATGCCAACAGCAAAAAAAAATGGATTCAATTTTCTACACTTTCATATAAATACCCGGTTAGAACATTTTATTCCTGGGCATTTATCTGGGTCTTTCAAATACCTTAGTTGTCCCAAAGGTAGGGTATGGTTTCCTTCCATTTCAAGGTTGAAAATATAGAAGACATCCCAGGGGTGAAATCTATTTACCTTCCCTACCGGTTCGGAAGTGCACGTGACATTTGCGCGCTTGGACCCTCTGTGCATGCACAAACCCTTCTGCGCATGGGCAAAGGGTAAAAAACAGGTTACTTCCTGGTTAAAACCAGGAAGTAATGATGACAGGGTGGGTGGGTGGAGCCTCATACTGCTGCTGCTACCAGTTCTTCGAACCATCCACCGCTGTCGCTACCAGTTCAGCAGAACCAATCCGAACCAGTAGCATTTCCCCCCTGAGACATCCTGTACAATCTAAAACAGCTTTTGTTTATATAGTTAACAAAGAAACATCACGAACAAAGACAAAAAGGTCAATATCCCACAAAGAACATTCTCCCTCTGTGTAGTTTTGTGACATGGTCCTGCCCACTCTGCCCACATCACCACAATCAATGTTACACTTTTCTCTCCCTCAAAGTAAAATGTGGCCCTTGTTAAAGGGGTTGTCCACCCCTGCTTTTTGGGGTGCATCACAGAAGGCTGAAGCAGTTCTGGGCTTTTGATGCCTAAAGCTTTCTAGTCCTCGACAGGCAAGAATTGTAAACAAGAAGGAAGACACCAGACAATGGATTAGATTAGATTAGGAGGCAAGCTGGCCAAACTAATAGGCTTTGGTTTAAAATAACTCTCTCCCTCAGATAGGAGAGAGGGAGGCTGGATGAAGGGAAAGGGCAAACAGGAGAAATTTAAAGGAGAAATCAGAACTGGAATAGACTGCAGGAAGCTTTCTTTGTTTTCTGAGAGGGAGAGGGAGGGGAGAGGGAGAGGGAGACGGGGAGGGAGAGGGGAAGGGAGCAGTGGTGGATTGCTCCTGGTTCAGTCCGGTTCTATAGAACCGGTAGTAAAACCAGTGGGAGGCTCCGCCCACCCGCCACGACGTCATCATAGATGATCTGTGCATGCGCAGAAGCTTCTGCGCTTGCGCAGCAGAGGTGGGTTTCAGCAGGTTCTGATCAGTTCTGGAGGACCAATAGTGGAAAGTAGTTGAGTAGTTCAGAGAACTGGTAGTAAAAATTCTGACTGGCCTCGCCCCCATTTATTCTCTGCCTCCGAAGTCTCAGCTGATTGGGAGGAAATGGGGATTTTGCAGTGACCTTCCCTTAGGAGTGGGGTGGGAATGGAGATTTTACAGTATCCTTCCCCTGCCATGCCCACCAAGCCATGCCATGCCCACCAAGCCACGCCCACAGAACCGGTAGTAAAATTTTTTGAAACCTACCACTGATGCGTGATCCCATTGCGAACCGTAGTAAAGGTAGTAGAACCCACTCCTGGGAGGGAGGGAGGGGGAAAGGGAGAGGGAGGGACGGAGGGAGGGAGGGAGGGAGGAAGGGAGGGAGAGAGAGAGAGAGAGAGAGGGAGAGAGAGAGAGAGAGAGATAGGGAAGAGCTCTTGCTGGAAAACAGCAGAGACTTACATGAATCACATAATCAAGATGTAAGATGTTCTCTGTCATTGTCTCCAAGGTGCCCTAGGACTCTTGACAGGATTGGGGGGGAGGGGAGGAGGGGGGAAGCAAGGAGGCATTTTAACATCCAAATAGGAGGGAAGGGCCATACCTTAATTCCAAAACTTTTCCTTTGTATTTTGCTGGCCATAGATTCAAACTCTTGTACTTTTAGTTTTAAAAGCCTGGTGGAAAACTATCTAGTCAAGCTATTCCCCAAAGCACCTTTGGAGGGCAGGAGAAGAAGCAATGGGTGGAAACTAATCAAGGAGAGAAGCAGCTTAGAACTAAGGAGAAATTTCCTGACAGAACAATTAATCAGTGGAACAACTTGCCTCCAGAAGTTGTGAATGTTCCAACACTGGAAGTTTTTAAGAAGAGATTAGATAACCATTTGTCTGAAGTGGTGTAGGGTTTCTTGCCTAAGCAGGGGGTTGGACTAGAAGACCTCCAAGATCCCTTCCAGCTCTTGTTATTCTAAAATTCTACTTGAAAACCTGGAGGACTGTTGCAGGTCAGAATGCATCAGTCTAGACCAGTGATGGCTAACCTTTTTCCTGTCGCATGCCAAAAGCGGGGAGAACATGGGGTGGGGGGGTGGGTGTCATGCACATCCGTGCCCACACCCATAATTCAATGAGTCCCGCGTATGCGTGTGGTACCCCCGCGCTCCCCCCACTTTTGGCAAGTGATGGCACGGTGGACCCGGTAGGCCTGTTTTTCATCCTTCCCAAGCTCCAGAGGCTTTTTAGGAACCTGGGGAGGGCGAAAACAGCCTTCCCCATCCCCCGGAGGCCCTCCGGAGGCTGGAAATGGCCCATTTCCCGACTTCTGGTGGGACCGGAAGGCCTGAAAATCAGCTGGCGAGCACACGGATGTGCATTGGAGCTGAGCTAGGGCAACGCTCGCATGTCCACAGATATGGCTCCGCGTGCCACCTGTGGCATGCGTGTCATAGGTTTGCCATCATGGGTTTAGACTATAGGGACAAACTGACATTTGAAGGTGATTTCCAAATGCCAATTCTCAGGATACTGAGGAATAATTTGATTTTCTGGGACTGCAAGGTATGTTTCATTAAATGTTGCAACACTTTCCTATCTTTTGTGGGTTGAAACTACTGTCCTACACTGCATTATAAAATATGAAAAGTGTCTTTGCCACAGCTTCATATTAGAGCACCTTGGTGCTCAGGTCAAAGCTTCAACTCAACTCAACTCTATCTTTACTAGGACAAGGCATATGGCTATTCTGACTTTAGAGTTGTCCAGCTAGGAAATACTCTCTCTCTCTCTCTCTCTCTCTCTCTCTCTCTCTCTCTCTCTCTCTCTCTCTCTCTCTCTCTCTCTCTCTCTCTCTCTCTCTCAATTTCAACCTTGTGATGTTAGAAGAGCCAAGGATGACAAGGAGGGACAGGTCAATCAAGAAGAAAGCTAAAATGAAAATAGTGACGAGGGAAGAATTCATAGAGGTGTGGGAATATTCAGGGTTTGTTGAACAAAATGATCCCTTTGTGATAATCTGAATACTGAATAAGGTGAATGTGATGGTCTGAGTGGTTTTTTGTTCAAAGGAAACTAATTAGAGCAGAGGTGTCAAACTTGATCTCATTGAGGGCCACATCAGGATTGTGTTTGATCTTGGGAGGCCGGGGTGGGCGTGGCTGGGGTGGGCGGGGCCAGATCAATGTCAATTGTGTCGGGGGCGCCTGTGGGGCCCAAGTGCTCTGCCAGCGAAAATGGGCTCCTGAACTCTGTTTTCAGCTGAGATGGCCTCCTGCAACCCTCTGCAAGTGAAAACAGCGCTCTGGAGGGCTGCGCGCGGCCCTCACAAACTCCGTTTTCGGCTGTGATGGCCTCCTGCAAATGGTTTTTGCTGGCAGAGGCACCGCAGGCCGGTCCTTCACTGTTTTGAGGGTGGCTCCACGGGCCAGATCTAAGCACTCCATGGGCCAGATCCAGTCCGCGAGCCTTGAGTTTGACACCCTTGAATGAGAGCTTCCCCTGCAACTCCTTCCAATTTTGAGAAGTGGGGAGGTGGCCCAATTAATATGACATTCCAAGCTTCAGATTGGATAGAACCACAGATTGGCTTGGAGAAAAGCAGCTGGTAACTCCTCCCTTCCAAGGACTCTTTCCATTAGCAGCCACTTGACCAGATTCCAATGGAAGTAGAAGTGGGACTAAGTGCCACTTGACTTTTCCTTTCCTAGAACAGCCCATTTAAGTACTCTTAGGAGGTGCACTTGAGTTCACCTTCCTCTTTCTACTCCTCCCTTTTCCCTTATTGTACAATATAATTGTGAATTACCAGTGTAAATGTATTAAAAATAATTTTCAGAATCATACCGGGATATGTTAGAGAAGCTTAAGTTTAGTGGAGAATATTCCCTTCCCCAGATTTTCCTGTTTTCTACCATATTTAGCCACAGGGAATAAGATAAAAATCTTACAGGGTTCCAGTTCATTAAAGTGCATATGACTATGTTAGTTGGGTGTCTTATTGGGAGCAAAGTAATTTTCTTAGCAGGCATTCATTAAGAATATCTCTAACGAGCTTTTCAAAATAGGTCCCCAATGATATCCAATATTCCAGTAATTCTTATTGTATCCCTTTCATTGCTTCCAGCCTACCAGATCTGCTTTTTGCCCCCTTTGGTTAAATAGAAAGATTCGCTCTATCACGAGTTGACCCATTTCAGTGGATGAATCCAACCCAATTCCACCCCCCCCCCCGCTGTCTTCTTACCCAAATGCAAAATAGAAAATCTTTACCTTTTTCCCTTGAGCTGCACCCATGATTTTAGTAGTTCACTTCTTCCCCTGCAACAGTTTGAATTTCCCTCCAGGCTTTTGTTGCATGTGGACGAGTGAGAAAGCCAGAACAACCAGCTCTATTGATGGAACTGTCTTATTCTGCCAGGTTCAAAAAGTCCAGGGCACTTTTTCCAGAGAGATGCCTCTGGTCTTCGGTCTTGCAGAGAGTGATGTTATGAAGCTCCTTGCACTCCCATTTACTCATCGCGTAAGAAGGGTCAGAAAATAGCAGCCAGAGGTTCAAGGGGACGAGCAAAGCAGTTTCCCCTTGATTGCTGATCCTGGCATGTAAAGAATTCATTTTTTGAATATACCTAACAACTGGCTTGCAAGCTGCCTGGGGCTACATACAAAGGCAGCTTTCATGCTGGGGATGGCCATCTCCTTAACAGAGCTCTCTCTCTCTTTGTGTGTGTGTGTGTGTGTGTGTGTGTGTGTGTGTGTGTGTGTGTGTGTGAAAGCCTCTTGAAGATTAGATTAATCAGACTTGACACAACAAGATGTCACTGGGAGCAGAGCTGATCAGAGGAGGAACCCAACCTGTGCCACACAGCTGGGCCGCAGCAGCGGGAGCCCTTTATCTTGATCAAGGATTTGTGCCATCCTTCCCTCCTCCTCCTCCTCCTCCTCCTCTCCCCTCCCTCTGCCCCCAATCTGCTTCTCACTTCAGTGCAGCCTTGGGGAAAAAAAAAAAACAACAGCAAGGAAATCAAAGCCCTAAGAGCTGCTTTAAGAAGAAAGAGGAGGAGGGAATCTGGATGGACTCTAGGCTGTTGATGCATCCTGTATGCCTCTGCCTGACTTTCGGACTCCCAACTGGCCTCATATTCTGCCCCAGCCTTTTTCAAAGAAAGGCCCAAAGTCTGGCATTGCCCAATAGAAATGTAGCAAAACATCACAGTGGAGCAAACGGCCCCAAGGAGCGTCAGGGTAAGGGTCTTCTGTATGTACTGTAGTTTGATACAAACTCATTCCTTTTATTCAGGGGTGGGTTCTACTTACCTTTACTACCAGTTCATAACGGGACCGCGCGGGCTTCTGCATATGCACAGAAGCTTCCTGATGATGTCCGGATTGGTGGGCGGAGCCTCCCACCGGTTTTACTACCAGTTCTTGCAAAACGGTCTGAACCGGGGGCAACCCACTACTGCTCTTATTGCTCCCAGTCTCTAACATTTCATCTACCTGTCTGGGATACGTGATAATGACTTTTGTGGTGTGATGGATAAAAACATAACGAGAGTATTCATAGCTCAGGGTTGAAATAAGGAGTCCTTGATTCATTGTTTTCTTGCAGACATTTCATTGCCCAAACTAGGTAACGCTATCAGTGCCAGGATAAAAAGCATATTGATTAAGCCAGATTTTAACCATAGCATTGTCTATGGAGACTCTCAGTCATCCAGGTGCTTTTTTTTTTTCAAGAGGCAACTGGACTTTCTGGTTTTTCTTCGAAGACGTTTCAATCTTGTACTCTTCATCTTGAGCTTCTTGAATGAGAAGCAGAGGTGGGTTTCAGCAGGTCCTGACCAGTTCTGGAGAACCGGTAGCGGAAATTTTGAGTAGTTCGGAGAACCGGTAGTGGAAATACCACTTCTGACTGGCCCAGCCCCCATCTATTCTCTGCCTCCCAAGTCCCAGCTGATCAGGAGGAAATGGGGATTTTGCAGTAACCTTCCCTTGGAGTGGGGAGGGAATGGAGATTTTAAAGTATCCTTCCCCTGCCACGCCCACCAAGCCATACCACGCCTACCGAGCCACGCCCACAGAACTGGTAGTAGAATTTTTTGAAACTCACCACTGATGAGAAGTGAAACACCTTCAAAGAAAAACCAGAAAGTTGCTTCTTGAAAAAAAAAAAGCACTTTTGAGACAACCACAGCCATTATTACAGTCATAGCTCAAATTAAGGAGGGAAGAAAAGAGGGCTCTTTCAATCCCCAAATCATCTGATCAATTCATTATTATCCCTCCCTCGCATTAAACCTATCTACCTCACAAATTGTAAATGGATAGATTTGACAGAAGAAGATGTTTATAGGCAGTACTTGGTACAGGGGTGGGTTCCACTTACCTTTATTACCGGTTCGCAATGGGAGCGTGCACGCTTCTGTGTATGCGCAGTTCGTCAGTGATGACGTTGGGGTGGGTGGGCGGAGCATCCCTCCGCCATTACTACCGGTTCGCAAGAATTGGACTGAACCGGGAGCAACCCACCACTGACTTGGTACTATGGCAGCAATCTTCTCCTAAGCCTCCACTTTCCCAAAACTGTCATTTACCACCAATGGCCCAGTGGTGGGTTCCTCTCGGTTCCGCCGAGCCGGTAGTGGTGACGATATGACATCACCGAACCGGTTCTGCCCCCCCCACACCACCCGCCCCCCCTTCCCCCCGCCTCCCCTGCATTATTCTTATCTTTTATTTGGCCAATCTATTGCTGCCTCCTGAGTTCCAGCTGATTGGCTAGAGGGAAAACACCTGTTTAAACTCTTGCCGAGGGGCTTCAAAGGGCCTCCCTACAGCTGATCAGTGTTAAAAGAAAACACATGAGTAGACCGGTACCTGCAAAAATAAATGAGTAGACCGGTGCCTGCAAAAATAAATGAGTAGACCGGTGCCTGCAAAAATAAATGAGTAGACCAGTGCCTGCAAAAATAAATGCCACGCCCACAAAATAAACCACGCCCACAGAACCGGTAGTAAAAAATTTTAGAACCCACCCCTGCAATGGCCAATTGGTCACCGCAGAACAAGGCCATATTTGTTATTTTATTCAAACAACTGTATAAATCTCCGACACTTTGTAGAATCCAAGGCACTGGATATACTTTCAAAATGTTGGATTTCTGGGAGGGCCCAAAGCAGGAACAAGAATGGGGAAAGACTAGATTTGCCAAAGAATGCAATGCCAGTTTTATAGCAGTCTTTGAGAACATGAAAATAATATTTGAGATGAGAAAATAGCTTAATGTCAGCTTTATAATCTTTTTAGAAGACAACCATCTGGCTAGAAGTGGTTTTACCTGGAGACTCTCTGAAATGCTGTTCTAAGAAAAGGCCTTGACTTCATTGGCTCTATAGCCAACAACACAAAACCTAGATTGCACACTGTAGCTTTTGATGCATTTTAATGCATTGACTGTTGGCCATTGCAACCCCCTCCTTCTGATGGTAATGCAGGAACACAGAGCTTTTGAGAAAAAAAATCCCACTCATGCACACCACCAGTGGAAAAGGCAACTCCAGTGTATATTTTGCTGCAGTTGCTTTTCAAATCTTTCCATTTTCCTGTGGAAAGCCAGCCAGAAACAGTCAATTGGAGCAGAACCCCAGGATTATCATGATGTAGATTAGGGCTGTCAAGAGACAGATGTACCACAGAATCCTAAAGTCCCTCTGCTATTATGGTGAGGAGTTCTGGACTTGCAACTCCAACCCATTTGGATAGCAATTCTAATTAGAACTGAAGGCGGTTCTAATCCATATTGGAGCAAAAGAGTATTGAGGAAGGAAGAGAAGTGCCTGTTTTTGTCCTACTAGCCCAAAGGTCTGCAACCTTAAACACTCAAAGAGCCATTTGGACCCATTTCCCACAGAAAAGAAAACACCTGGAGCCACAAAATCTGTGTGGGCGTGGCCAACTTGATGTCACTCACTCCCACCCAATCACATGACCCCCCTGCCACAACTACCCAGGTTTTGTGGCTCCCAGTGTTTTCTGTGGGAAACCTCTCTCTCTCTCTCTGCCTCCCTCCCTCCCTCCCTCCACCCCCCTCCCTCCATCCACCACCATCACCCTTACCTTCTCAGGCGAGGAGTAAGGGTGATGGGCAAGGGGCAGGACAGGGCCAGCCACTGGTGGGATCCGGTTTGGCAGGGAGCCACAGCAAGGGGCCCAAAGAGCCGCATGTGGCTCCAGAACCACGGATTGCCGACACCCATACTAGGCTACGGGCAAAAGCTAAATGATATGAAGTTGAAGAAAGATCAGATCAGGAAGGCCCCAGAAAGGTAAATAAAGCCCATTATATAATTTTCCTCCTTCCTATAGAACAACCTAGATAGACATTGTTGATGTTTTGCTCTTTTCTGCTCAGGTTCATGGTTCTGTTCCTGTTTTAGATTTAACAAATACTACATTTCCAACTGATATTGAAAAAGGTGCTGATGATTTGACAGGCAGCAAGGAAAACATCCACCAGGAAGTCTGTAGAGATTCCCAGTCTCAGCACTACTCTGGTGACCCTGAGGTCACAGATACTCAGGTGACCCTGAGGACACAGATAAACCTCCAAGTGCTTCAACAACCCTCTAAAAGGATGCAAATGACCAGCTGTCTGCAACGCATATAAATCCTTCCATTCCCCACCATCCACTCAGACCTCAAGATGCTTCTTGGATGAGAAGTGAAATGACTTCAAAGAAAAAAAACAAGAAAGTCCAGTTGCCTCCTGAAAAAGCACCTTTGGGATCCACCAGGAACCACTTATTGTGGTATCAAACAGCCACACCTGGTATCTTTTATTATAGAAGACTTGGGAGGGCGGAGGGCTTTGAATCAATTGCATCAAGCCTTAGAATAGCTGCAAATAATTTATGCCTTCAATAGGTCGATCCAGAGGAGCAGTTGGGCAAGTTAAGTGCCTCTTTGGTTCATCTGTGCCTAAATCTTGGTTTCCCCCTTCTGCTGATATTTTTGCTTTCCTATTGTATTGTCAACCCTAAAAGCTAGATCAGACTAAGAACCCAATGCCATATTCCGTAGGTCGGGATTACTTTCGTTGTAACAGCTATAGTAAGACTCTTACTGAATGTGCTTCCTCCCTTTTTCTCTTTATCTTCAAAAAACATGAGATGTTTTTTTCAAGATGCTTTCTTGGCCAGAGCTCAAATCCCTATTATCTCTAACCATTGCCTTCTTCCTGTCCTTCAAGGTTATTCCCTCTTCCCTTTCCATATATTGACTGCTAGAAAGTAGCATGTGACAATTTTTATCCTTACTGGGAATTGTCAGATTGCCTCTTCAGGATTGGTATAACAAAAACGGTATATAAATTGAAAATAAATAAAAATAAATAAATAAATTATATAGGATATACACTATATAAAAATAGAGAAATTTCCCTGTTATTTAAAAGGATGATTCGTGTAACCTTGAAGTTGTATCACTTGTCAGAGTTGTATCACTTGTCAGAATGGTACACCTTAAGCCACGTCCCCATGAAGTTGTGTAAAGGCTCATATATGGGAGACATGATTTAATATAACATCTTCCTCTTTGCAAAATTTAAGGAATGCACCATTCCGATAGATTCTTGCTTTCTGAAGTTTGGATTCTTTCCCTCTTCTGAAAAGTTTCTAGTACCACAATCCATACTATTGGAAATAAAGCAGAATTAGGGATTTATGGAGGAGAAAATGGTGATGGTGATGAGTTATGTCCTGAAATGAATATTGGAAGATTTCCTGAAAAATACATGCTAGGAGGAAAGGCAGTGGACTTGATATGAGAGAAATGTTCTGCTAGAAGAATTGGGGGAATGTGTTAATGAACTGGAAGATGGATATTGTAGTTAGAGGAAGGGTTTCAGGGGAGAGGGATAATGGTGAGTCATGTCAAAAATGGGGCAAATCAAGCTGGTGATATTCTATTTGCCACATATGGGGCTGGAATGCAACATCTAAATATGCTATAAACAGAAATGTAAATTAGATGCACTTATTTGAATATAAAAGGCATGGACTGCATTATTGCATATTTGAATGATTGGGGCATGAAAGAGCCTTATTTGGGCTAGAACTTGTGTGTCCCTTCAGGATTTGTCATTTGGGAAAGAGGTCCCTGGAGTTAAAGAAATTAGCCTGCGATTATAAAGTTCCAACATTTTCTTTCTTTCTATTTCTTCCTAAGGAAAGATTTCCACCTGCTGGTTACAAGATGAAATTGTAATTTGTTCCTTTATCCTTGGAGAAATTAGAAGAGTGTATAGAAATGTTTGCCTCTGAAGCAGTCAGTAGGGGGGAGGTAAGCCAGGGCAGCAGCTTTTTCTGACAGTCCTGTTGCAAATAAAATTTATGATATTTTACCCCCCAAATACAAAACAAAGCTATAGGATGGAATCACAAGTGAGCTATTTCAAGCTTCAGTCTGTGGATATCTGGAAAATCATGGTAGTGCAGGGGTAACAAACTTGATTACATTGAGGGCCACATTAGGGTTGTGTTTGACCTCGGGGGGTCAGGGTGGGCATGGCCAGCTCGATGTCACTCATGTTGGGGCACCTGTGGTGGCCCCAGCACTCTGCCAGCGAAAACGGACTCTGGAGCTCTGTTTTCTGCTGAAATGGCTTCCTGCAACCCTCTGCCAGTGAAAATGGAGTTCGGGAGGGCTGCCTGCTGCGAGCGCCATTTTTGCTGGCAGAGGTACCATGGGCTGGTCCTTTACTGTTTCCAGGGTGGCCCTGTGAGCCAGATCTAAGCACCCTGCAGGCCAGATCTGGCCCTCGGGCCTTGAGTTTGACACCCCTGTGATAGTGGTTCCACTTATTTAACTTATTTAATAATTCTTGTATTCCTTTTTCAAGATTATCTTCATAGTTTTCCACTCAGGGTTTTGTGTTATTTTGGCCCTGCCTTTCTTGAAGTTGGCCCTTTCCCCAGGCCTTGGGATGAGGAATGGCTTTCTATGGGAGGCTCCTTCAAAGACGAGGGGGGTCAAATTATTTTCCAAACCACCAAAAGGCAAGATGAGAAACAATGGGTGGAAATTAACCAAGGACAGAAGGAATCTAGAACCAAGGAGAAATTTACTAATGGTGAGAACAACCAACCAATGGAATAACTTGCCTTCATAAGTTGTGGGTGCTTCATCACTGGAGACTTTCAAAAAGAGACTGGATAGCCACTTTTTTAAAAAAAATTGATTTATATGCCGCCCTTCTCCGGAGACTCAGGGCGGCTAACAATGTGTTAAGCAAAACTTGCCTGGAATGGTATAGGATTTCCTGCTTGAGCATGGGGTTGGTCTAGAAGACCCCTAAATCCCTTCCAACTCTTGTTCTATATTCTATAGTTGACCTGTATTAACTTTGTGAGTTTTTACTTGTTTTGTTAGAATAGAAATAGAATAACAGAGTTGGAAGGGACCTTGGAGGTCTTCTAGTAAAACCCCCTGCTTAGGCAGGAAACCCTACACCACTTCAGACAAATGGTTATCCAGCTTCTTCTTGAAAACTTCCAGTGTTGGAGCATTTACAACTTCTGGAGGCAACTTGTTCCACTGATTAATTGTTCTAACTGTCAGGAAATTTATCCGTAGTTCTAAGTTGCTTCTCTCCTTGATTAGTTTCCACCCATTGCTTCTTGTCCTGCCCTCAGGTGCTTTGGAGAATAGCTTGACTCCCTCTTCTTTGTGGCAGCCCCTGAGATTTTGGAACACTCCTATCATGTCACCCCTAGTCCTTCTTTTCATCAAACTAGACATACTGAGTTCCAGTAACCGTTGTTTATTGTTCAGTCATGCCATCTAACAGATTTTTTTATTGCTTAATAAATTAACCAGAGTTGATTGATTTAGGCAGCTCTGTAAATCTGATAAAATAAATAAATATAAAAGATGACAGGAGGCCTTTCAAATATCTTCCAAGGCTTAGATTTTATGACTGAACAAACAGTTGAAGAGATTTGTGGACGTCAAACTGGTTGGACAAGAATGGCAGGATCCATTATTTTGTTAGGCAAATTTAGTCAGGTATCTCCATGGGAACCAAGAAAGCAGAATTAGCAGGTTGTTTTCTATCCCCTCCCTAGAAAACAGTTTTCTGAGCAAGAATGACTTGAAGGATGAGATTTTAGATTCTTTCAGAAGCAACAGCATTTTGGAGAATTGATGTGGGAGAAAGAAGTGGAGAGACTATCAGAAGCATGAAAACTGAGTAGCTTAATTTGGTTCAATCCAGTGGTGGGATTCAGCCGGTTCGCACCGGTTCACATGAACCAGCTGTAAATTACCCACTCCCTGCTATCAAAGTGGATCCTGGGCACTGCACTGCAATGGAGAAACGGGCAACGGAGTGGTCAACGTGAGGGAAGGAGAAGACCACTTTCCCTCTGTCTTCTCCCTGCTCCTCCTCCTTCCCTTGTGCCGGCCACTCCATTGACTGTTTCTCCATTGCAGCACAGTGCAGCATCCAGCATCCACTTTGATAGTGTGGGGGTGGGGGAGAAATAATTTAACCATCGGTTCACCCAGGGTCAGGTTGGCTGACGTGGGAGGCTCATCTCGCATGTGCGGCGGAGCTGGAGGACGGGGATGGGCCATGCCTCCCACGACAGCCAACCTGACCATGGGTGAACCAGTTGTTAAATTATCTGAATCCCACCACTTGTTCAATCTATATATTTTATAAACAAGCACAAATATTTCGAAGTGCCAATAGGTGGCAGAAGGACTGGCAGGGCCAGAGGGAGAGGTGAAAAGAGGGATCAACCTAAAATCCCTATGTAGCCACAATCAAAGTTCAACCCCTCCCCACCGAGCCATTGACCTTTATCTAACTCTAATCAAGTGCTGACTGTTCGTTCAGAAGATTCCTGTGTATAGGCTGCTTAGCAAGGAATCAGTTAAATTGAACCTTCGAAGATGTGTGGCCTTGGTCTTTCACACCTGACACTGAATGTTTTCCGAAGGAAATAATACCAGGATCCATAATGTATTTTTGGAATGCTTGACAATTAAAAAAAAAAAAGGGGGGGATATATGATGTAATAGTTGGGTACTATGAAGGGTTGGGTACTATGTTCACTATACACTGTTACATACAGTGAACCTCTGATTTACCAAATCTTGATTCAATAGGTTTTGCATAAAGGTAAAGATAAAGGTTCCCCTCGCACATATGTGGTAGTCATTCCTGACTCTAAGGGCGATGCTCATCTCCGTTTCAAAGCCGAAGAGCCAGCGCTGTCCGAAGAAGTCTCCGTGGTCATGTGGCCGGCATGACTCAACACCAAAGGCGCATGGAACGCTGTTACCTTCTCACCAAAGGTGGTCCTTATTTTTCTACTTGCATTTTTTACATGCTTTCGAACTGCTAGGTTGGCAGAAGCTGGGACAAGTAACGGGAGCTCACCCCATTACACGGCACTTGGGATTCTAACCACTGAACTACCGACCTTTCGATCAACAAGCTCAACGTCTTAGCCACCAAATTTCCACTTTGTTTTACACCCCCACCCCCCCACATAATGAAATCATTACACAAATGATATACTGTAATTGACATGATTCGCATCAATGTACTTATTCACATAATGACATTACTTTCCTAATTACAGTATGCCATCACACCAAATGTCATAAATGAATATGAATGATGTCATTTTGTATCATACCAGCATTATTTTGCAATTTAATTCAGTAACAATCTTCATCAATTAGATATTCCCAGATGTTTATCCAATTGATTTTCAGAGCTAGTGGTGGCATTTATATAAACAGCAAGTTTTAATTTCATTATAATCCTGGTGGCCAGGATGGTATATTCAAAATTGGAAGCTCGGCTTCATGCTATTTTGAAGCACAAAAACACAACAAAACTACAATGGAAGATTAAAAAAGAATTCAAACAATACAAACCAAACCAAATATAAATCCAAAAACTGTGCTTTGTCCAATTTCAACATCCACACCCAAATTCCTGGGCCTGCCAGTCATTACTTTAGCTGAAATATTAAATGTGGCTCCCAAGAATGAAATAATGTCCATCACTGTCCTATGTTACATACGGTATATCTTCACCTCAAAAAGCTCTTTTTGAAGGATTCGCTCTTGTATTTGTGAAGTCTAGAATGATCATAGGACTTTCCAAACCATTAGTTCACCTGGAAGTATAGGCCTGTAGTTCTTCTGAACTCGTTACTTATATGTCAGAATAGTAGTGAAACGGCTCCTACTCATAGAAAAACTGGCCTTTTTTTGTTACCTCATTTGAGACCAGCAGGTTGATATGAACTCTGAGTTCAAAACCTCAAGGATTGAAGACTTGAGTCATTTCAAATTCACTATCTCAGATTGTTAGGCAAAGTACAAAAAAAAAATCTGTTTGATAAGACCACAGTTCATTCTTGTGCCAAAATTCGTTTTATGCTATTCTATCTTCTTAGGGACACAGCCCTCCATTTCCAGAACTTCGGGCCATCCGTCATACTTGTTTGTCTCCTTATTGTTTTCCAAATGCTGTAAAAAAAGAAACAAAATTAGCAGTGGTGAAATCCAATTTTTTTTACTACTGGTTCTGTGGGCATGGCTTGGTGGCTGTGGTGTGGCGTGGTGGGGCTTGGTGGGTGTGGCAGGGGAAGGATACTGCAAAATCTCCATTCTCTCCCTACTCCAGGGGGAAGGATACTGCAAAATCTCCATTCCCACCCCACTCTGGAGCCAGGCAGAGGTGGTATTTGCCGGTTCTCCGAACTAGTCAAAATTTCCAGTACCGGTTCTCTGAACTACTCAAAATTTCTGCTACCGGTTCTCCAGAACCTGTCAGAACCTGCTGGATTTTACTCCTGAAAATTAGGCATTTGCTTTGGATAGTTATATACTTTTCAACAGATAGGAATATGGATTCCACAAAATCAAAGCATTAACTTCTTCAGCTCAGTAGCTAGTAGATTTTTCTTCCTAAGTATTACAGTAGGTAATTCTTGACTTACGACCACAATCGAGCCCAAATATTTATGTTGCTAAGTGAGACATTTTGCTCCTTTTTGCAACTTTTCTTGCCACCTTTGTTAAGTGAATCCCTGCCATTGTTAAATTAGTAACACCGTTGTTAAGCGAATCCGGTTTCCCCATTGACTTTGCTTGTCAGAAGGTCACAAAAGGGGATCATGTGACCCTGGGACACTGCGACCGTCAGAAATGTGAGTCAGTTTTCAAGCATCCGAGTGTAAATCACCTGACCATGGGGATGAGTCACTTCTTTTCAGTGCTGTTGTAACTCTGAACGATTGCTAAACCAACTGTTGTAAGTCAAGGACTCCCTGTTCTGATTTTTATTTGGAGATGTAGAAATTGCATTTCTGTGATTTAGCATCATGCTACAGACATGTTTATTCGGATATCTTTTTTTATATATGTTAAAGCATCAAATGCTGATTTATAGCAAGGTTCTATATGCATTAATTTAATAGCATCTGGTCTTCTCTGAGCAGCAGACTGAGTCCATACAGTCATTTCCAGCCTGGTTCCTGCCTATGCCTTGAGAAGAACTAGTCCTCGACTTATGACTGGTAGTTTAGCAACTGTTCAAAGTTATGACCAATCTCCACAGAGCTACTTATGATCCAGTTTCGAAGTTCTGACAGCTGCCCCCCCATCTCCACCACGCAGTGATATGATTGCATTTTGGGCAGAGGTGGGTAAATTTTGGGCATTTGGGTACTTGCGGGACCGCCTACTACCACGAATAGCCTCCCACTGGCCAGTATGCTCCAATAGAGAGGGGCTCCTCCGGGTGCCGTCGGTCAAACAATGCCGACTGGCGGCCCCCAGGGGGAGAGCCTTCTCTGTGGGGGCACCTACTATCTGGAACAAGCTCCCCCCAGAGATACGGAGGATCCCGGATCTGCGCACCTTCCGCCGCGCTTTAAAGACCTTTTTATTTCACCAGGCGGGCCTGGCCTAATTTTCTCCCTCTTTTATAAAAGATTTTTAATTTTTAATATTTTTTAGTATTTTATATATTCAAATTTTAAAATTGGTTTTAAATTGATTGGGGTTTTAATGTGTCTGGGCCAAAACTATTTAATTTGATTTTAATTCCACTTTTAAATTTTGTATGTATGTATTTTATTGTTTGGCTGTGCACCGCCCTGAGTCCTTCAGGAGTAGGGCGGTATAGAAATCAAATCAAATCAAATCAATAAATAAATAATTTACCTTCTCTACCAGTTCGCAAATGTGAGCGTGTGCATGGGGATGCTGCAATGGTCATAAGGGTGAAAAACGGTTTATATAAGTCATGTTTTTCAGTACCATTGTAATTTTGAATGGTCACTAAATGAACTGTTGTAAATCGAGGACGACCCGTCAGAGCAACAGGTTGCTAAGAACCCAGATTACAATCCTCTGACTCCGAGGTGGTGGTGTGGCATTTTGTGATGCTCAGAAGTGCTTTGCAGGCTATTAATCATCCTTTCTGAGGCCATTGTTAATTCTAACCTTTGTTAACTGAATGGTCGTAAGCCGAAGATTACCTCCAGAGATAAAAGACAGAGATAGAGGAAAAGCAATAGAGAAATGTTAGCTTTTAATAGAAAGAGAAAAGAAGGCAAACCAGCCACAGGGCAATACTGCTGAAAATCTTAATTCCAGAGGTGTGAAGGAATGTGGGTTGGATTCAGAGAAGCTGAAGAATAAACAGTAAAAGAGGTATAAAAAATACCTGAGTCCTAGGGAAGCAGAAAGTATAAGAAAGGAACTTGAAACAACTCACCTTAATTGTGCTAGGTATCAAATGAAGCAGAGATGGGCTTGGGCAGATTCTGCCACAGTACCCTAAACCAGTGATGGGTTTCAAATTTTTTTACCAACGGTTGTGTGGCTTGGTGGGTGTGGCAGGGGAAGGATATTGTAAAATCTCCATTCCCACACCACTCCAGGGGAAGGTTACTGCAAAATCCCCATTTCTTCCTGATCAGCTGGGTCTCAGAGGCAGAGAATAGATGGGGGTGGGGCCAATCAGAGGTGGTATTTACCGGTTCTCTGAACTACTCAAAATTTCCACTACCGGTTCTCCAGAACTGGTCAGAACCTGCTGAAACCCACCTCTGCCTTAAACCACATGAAAACACATCCCAAGATACTCCTGTTTTCTACCTTTGCCTAAATCTAAGGGCTGACAAGAATACCTGCCATGGGAACGGACCAGATTAGCCCAGTTTCAGGAACTATTAATGTGATTTCCTCTTTGCCGGAAGAGGAAATTTCCTGCCCTGCTGTGGTCCTAATAGTCAATGGATTGTAGTGGGGGAGGGTTAGGGTTTTTCTGATTCTGCCATTTTTTTAAGTAACCAAATAAGAAACCATCTCAGCATGCATCACTTGGAATTATAGGACACAGCTATTGTTACCATAATGCACCTGTTCAAATGGACTTTTGTTTTTGAGTCCGCTCCCGCCAAGGAATATCCAGTTGTCTCGAAAACCTATCTGGGAAGCATATTTGCTCCCTAAGTCAGAAAATATCTTCCGGGCTTCATCATTTAGCCTGAGAGACAGAAAATCATTTTGTCATATTTTTTTTCTTTAACACAGCAATTTAAACCATGGAGGATAAGAGCGGCAGAATTAGCAAATTGATCAATTCTGCACTTCATAATTCAGTCTTTCAGAAGACAGAAGACGGCAGAACACCCATCTATATAAAGCTCATTCAGATGCCAGATAGTTTCTCCTTACTCTGTGTTGACCAAATCTGTTGCATAAAATATTTTCTCTTTTAGCTGTTACCATTCATCCATGCAACAGCTCTCTGGTTCCAAAAGCCAAAGCTTTAGGAGTTTCCCTCTTCATTTAGGCAGGTGGAAAAGAGAATCAACTACATTTAAATTTTTCCTTTGGAGGCCTATCTGCCTCTATTATCCTTGCTGTTTTGCAGGAAACTATCAAAACAGGTTCTTTTGAATTGGGATTCTGAATGCTCTTAAATTGGTGTGAGACAAAAACAACAACAACCCCAAAACACACAGATTTAGGATTCATTATATCCCAAACCATCCTTTTCTGGAAAAGTATAAACAGAACTGGGAGATGATTTTAGCCATCTCCCTTCCTTCCTTCCTTCCTTCCCTCCCTCCCTCCCTCCCTCTTATTCAACATTTATTGCTCATATATTCCTATATTCTCTGGAGTTACTTCCACTTGACTGCAACATGCATAGGACAGTACTAGAATGCTAGAGCATTAGCAATCCAGACTGCTTCACCGTCCATTTAAACAAGACATTTTTGCATAATATTTCCCCATATTTCTGCACCTGAAAAAAAACACACCTTCAGAGCCATTTACAGTTGCAATATCTGGCAACTTACAGAAGCATGCCTTCCATTCATTTTATATATTAACATAAATTGCCCATGAACCTTTAAAAATAATGCTTATTACTTTTCTTTCTGTACTATATAAATAACAAGCAGAGCAACAAAGAAAAACATCTCTGGAAATTATGTTACAAACAAAAGAATTCCATAAACATTGACTGCATTTTTTGAAATTTGTCATTTTTTGAAAATGACAAATGGAAATACTGATAAGCAACACATATCAATAATCCCATTGCTGCCAAATGTGCGTACATTTCACTTTCCATAATTAGTCTTGTCTAATTATTCCTTTACCCAAATCCATGCTTCCAAGACCTATAGTGCATGCCATCTTGATAAATTTCAGAACTGTGGCTATAGTTAAGACGAATGCAAGCACCTTTCAAACAACAATTGATCTAGAGTCATAGTAATAAAAATGACAATAAAGGTTATCTTACCATCTCATCTTATTAATTTTTCATCTTATCTATCTTAATACATAAAATAACATCGTGAATACGTTCTATCATAATATATGTCAACCTGGACGTTGTATTCATCTTAGTTGCACTCATGTTATCTCATATTGTTGGAATTCATTATTGGAATGTATTTTTGTGCAACAACTACAGTAGTATTCAGCCAGTAGATGGCAGTGTTTACAAGTTTGGATCTATGGTACATACTCTATTTTTTTGTTTTTTGTTTTAAGTAGAATTTCCTGTTTCCTGTTATAGTTAAAACGGTTAAGCAGTAAAGCACATGGTGACTGTACACTCTGTTTGAGCTGTGGTGCTATATATAAACAGAATTTCTAACACATACTCAATATTCAAGGGAATTCTAGACCATCTGTCTTATTTCCTCTGCATCAAAAGATATTAACAATTGAGAAATGATGTTACTGTCTTGGTGTACTTTGGCAGGAGATGAAAAGAGCAGCATCATACTGAGGCTCACATAATGCTTACATCACTAACAGGAACTTTTAAAAAAGGATCTCCTTATGTGTTATTTCTATGTTAAACAAATTTCACCACAAGACTAATTAAATGAAAGAAGTACTTCAATAGTTTACTTACTTTGTTGCTGGATCATCATAAGAGGCAAGGAGCACAAGGGTGCCTTTGCTAATTCCTTTCAAAAAATTTAGCAAATTTTCAATATCTTATGGAGAAACCGAGAAAAAAAGTTTGTGAATTACTTGTTGTGAACTTCTGATATATAGAAAATATAACTAACAAAGGAGATCATAGTCTTTTTAAACAAATAATGTAACACTCTCCCCAAGAAAAAAAAGCAACCAAACGCTATAGGTCAGCTTGTGCTTTCCAGATGTTGACTGTGCTTTATAAAATTCTAGAAACTGCATCTGGAGAAGGGTTCTGTATGCAAGAATAATCCCATAGACTGATCCAACCTGCTTTGCTTTGTTTGAAGCCCTTTGAGATAGGCATAGTAGACTACAATGGAAATAGGTACGATAGACTACACTAACTATAGAAATTCAACCTGGAGGTTATCTAGTTTATGAATTTTAGTCTGTATTCAGAAGTTACAAGGAACTACAGAAGTATAATTAATATATTTTTTTAAAATTTGATTTATATGCTGCCCTTCTCCGGAGACTCAGGGCGGCTTACAATGCGCTAAGCAATAGCCTTCATTCTTTTGTATATTTATACAAAGTCATCTTATTGCCCCCACAACTGGGTCCTCAATTTACCTACCTTAGAAAGGATGGAAGGCTGAGTCAACCTTGAGCCTTGGAGAGATTCGAACCTGCAGTAATTGCAGGCAGCTGTTCTTAATAACAGAGTGCTTTAGACCACTGTACTACCAAGGCTCTTATATTAACCAATAATCTAAGCTAACCATCTCAACAATTTCTTTGCTTTATGGACATTTTCTTGTACTTTCAACTCCCCTTAACCTTCAGTATTGCACTATTAGTACATAATGGATTAACCAATTCACATACCTCCAGAATACATATCAAAGCTATCTATTTTGATGAGTTGTCCTGTAATTCCTGGAGATTTAAAGTGAAACACAAGTTTTAATGAAACATGCTTATAAAGTACGTGCACTTAGTTCAGCCTCTGGAATGATGGAAAAATGAAATAAAAATGTCAAAGGCTAAAATTAATTGGTTATCAAAAGTGGAACATGTTTTCAATATGGATGGAAGTATATGATAATATTTTTTTTCAGCATTCTATGCATTCTCCTTTTTGTCCATACTAAACTGCTGAAGACAGGTTTTGTGCTTGTTCTTGGGACATGGCCAAAATCTACAAAACGGATACAGATAATTTTTAAAGAAATGGGCATTCAAAGTATGAGGAAACATGTAAAGAAGGATGATAAATTTTCCAGGATGTTGAAATTACTAATAAGAAGAATTGCTTCTTACGGGCAAACAATTCTCCTGCTTTGCTTCTGACTGAAAAATCTTGTAGATTTTTGAATCAATACTCAAGTGATACTGAACCCCCAAAAAGGCGAACATGTAAACCTGAAAATGTTGTCACTTTTTTCTAACAGTATTTGAATCTTCCAGTTATCCGAATATAAATTGTGTATCCTTCACGAAAGTAACTCAATAATCAAATACTGCCAAGCCTGACTTCAAGTAATTTGTAGGAAACTCTAGTAAATATTTAACAATATTAACTATTGCTACAGTCCCGCCTATGGACAATTGCTAAGATTTATTCCTCTTCATAATGTGTTTGTTAAATGGATAATTATTTGTAAAACATCATGGTTTGGCCCTTCTTTCTAGCTCCCTTCTGTGGATTAAGAGGCCTCTCCAAATTGTACTAGTGGAAATTTTGAAAACTCTGAAGTGAGGAATGCTTTAAAAGTTTGTTTTAAATCGTAAAATAGATTTCATTCAGTTCAGAAACAAAGAGAAAACCCAATTTTAGAACTAGGAAGTATCAAAGCAGGCCCACCCAGTTTGCATCATTCCACAATTTTGGTAAGGCCTTTGCCCTTACTAAAAAAATGTCATGCTTCACAACCTCAGATCAGCTAATAAAGACTGCAATTGTCTTCTGCTGAATTTTGCATCAGTCGACTCAGAAAAATGTTGCGTGGCAAACGACGACAAAAGCATATTATTATATGCATACTATAAATCTACTTTTGCACTGCAACGACTACTTGAGAAACTACTAAAGGTATGAATAAAGCCGGTGACCTATTTGTGATTCGCCCATGATCAAAATCGCACACAGCACAGCTATCTTTGCTGCCAACTGAGATATATTTCCTGATATGTAGACAAGATGGTGATAACACTGGTGATGATAATATGTACAATTCAGTGGTGGGTTTCAAAAATTTTTACTACCAGTTCTGTGGATGTGGTTTGGTGGGTGTGGCATGGGAAGGATACTGTAAAATCTCCATTCCCTCCCCAATCCAGGGGAAGTTTACTGCAAAATTCCCATTTCCTCCAGATCAGCTGGGAAGCAGAGAATAGATGGGGGCAGGGCCAGTCAAAATTTTTATTACCAGTTCTCCAAACTACTCAAAATTTCCGCTATGGGTTCTCCAGAACTGGTCAGAATCTCCTGAAACCCACCTCTGGTACAATTTCACCATTTATGTGTACATAAGGCACATTATCGTTTATATCTAGAGATATACTTTTTACTATTCCTTTTAGAGTAATTAGGGAAATTGCTCTTTCTGTACCCTGCTGCACCCATTCCAATTCTACTCATTTATTTTTATTTACTAGGCTATTCCAGTCTTAACTGACTCAGAAGGATATGGCTTTTTTGCCAGTTGCCAATCTCAGGCCTCCTAGGACTTTCTTTCCATGTACTGATCTTGAATAACTATAAGTTCCTTTTTATGTACAAAGACATGTGATATCTGATTAGACTTTCTTTTCTGGTCTGCAGTCTCCCAGTAGGAGATGGCCCAGAGATTTTGTCTCAATAACTGTCTCTATTGTAGCCCGTTCTTCCCTTTTCTTAGTATTAATTTTTATTCGAAGAATCTTTTTACAGAAAGTTTGAATATTTTATCCTTTCAGTCTACTTAACAGTATATCCTGGGTCCCTTCTTTCCACACTCTATCCTTTCTAATCATTAAAGTCAAGTTTGTTTTATTTTCTCTTTTCAGGAAAAAGAAAGAAAGAAAGAAAGAAAGAAAGAAAGAAAGAAAGAAAGAAAGAAAAAAAGAAAAGGGGCTGTGTGTGTTGCAGATATATTGTTGTCTTGTCCCTAATCAAACAAGTCAATTTTGACATCTCTGCAAATTCTGTTATCTTCACCAACCCACGAATCTCTTGTTGTGGGGATTCTCTTCCTTTATAAATAAAATTTAATGATTAAGCTGCAGAAAGGGTTTATGAAGACTTTAACAGTGCCAAAGTCCATTGGGCTTGCCAGATGTCATACTATTTTCTCAAGGTTAGCTTAATTATCATAAAAATGATAGATTTTTATATTGTTTTATGATTCCAGAGCATTGTTCGTTTCCATCATCAGAGCAGGACATTTTTGAAGAGTAGAAATAGATTACATTGGAGTCCTTAGTGCTCTCTGAACTTGGGTGTTTCATTACCAACTAGATATCATTTTCAATGCACATCATCATCATCATCAGTTGGTAACTGATGAGGATACCTAGTTGGGTAATGAAATGTCTGCAGGCAAACAACCAAACTCAGAGAGAGCACAAAGGACTCCATAGTTCGATTCTGATCTACTTATATTCTCTTCTATTGGAATGAATTTACTTTGTTCTTCACTCACACACCTCCCAATGTGAATATGACCTCTTGGCATTTTTAAGCATGCTTTTCCTTCTAATGTTGCCTCAGCTGCTCTTATCTCCTTTGGTTGGTGCATTTCACTTTGTCAAAGCTAATTCCTGCAGTTCATTAGCTATTTCACAGGGGCAGGAATAAACCACATTTAAATCAATGGTTACCAGGATTTCTAATATCTTCTAATACCTAACAGCACAATGACTATAACACTTGTCCTATAAATAGAAAGTTTCTCATTTGAAACCTGGCAGAAGCATTGTCCTTTACAAAAAAATACTATTTCCCCCCATGACCTACCTACTTTTTCCCTGTCTGTTCTTTTTAAAGTATTAAATAAATTCAGTGGTCTACCATTTCAATATTTTCCTAGTCATTTGGGATAGAAGGGTTTCAGCTCTGTTGCCCTGTGAATTAGCCAACAAACTGTTGGGATTAGCTTGTAATGAAGTGAAATACATCAGCTAACTTGGAAAGGCATGCTTATGGTAACATAAATGGGAAAGGAGAATTCTAACCATTAGCAATGGGGTGATGGGGAACATAAAATAATGTTATCTCTCCCTGTCCTACAAACAGGCTTTTCACCCAATTTGGTGATGAGACAATTGTGAAATGGGGATAAACCCCCAGTGAGAAATACTGAAATATTTCCTAGGAGGGAATATCCAATTAGAATGCTTGTTCCACTCATATGGAAGAATAGGATGATAGTGGTAGTGGTAATTTCCTCAGAGTTATAGAGCAGCTAAGGTATTTTCACTTGGTTGCAGTGAATCAGCATTGATTTGGAAATAACACCATGTGAATGACATAGCCATGTCCAGTAGCAGACAAAGGGAGAAATTGTCATATGATAACAGTCTTTAAGATTGGGCCCCTTAAATGCCAAGCAAATCCATCGGTTCTAGAATATAGATCGTTTCAATACCGTACAGAAAATTTTCCCTACTTGTTGAACTAAGCCTTTCTTGTGGATAATAACCCCTATCTCCCTTCTACTGGGAATAGGAGAGAAATGTACTTGATTAAACCCAAGCCTACCTCACTTTGCATTTTTGCACCAGTGTGAATCAAAACCTGCTTCTTCATTCACAATCCATATATTTCTGAATTTTGCAATACAATTTCATTTTCATTGCAATTTTTCAACAAGTAGAAATGAGGTGAAATCTATCATCTCTCTCTCTCTTTCTCTCAACTAGCTCATATCTATCTATCTATCTATCTATCTATCTATCTATCTATCTATCTATCTATCTATCTATCTACCTTGTATGTATGTATGTATGTATGTATGTATGTATGTATGTATGTATGTATCTATCTATCTATCATCTCTCTCTGTCTGTCTGTCTGTCTGTCTCTATATCTATATCTATCTATCTCTCTATCATCATCATCATCATCATCATCATCGTCATCATCATCATCATCATCAATTTCTGATAACAGTGAACAGCAATGCATTATTAGTAGCATCCCCTGCCCTATGAAACATTTGCCCCCTTGAGATCTGGCAGGGCTCCACCCTCTTAGCTTTCCAGAAAGTCATTAAGTTGCCCCCCCCAAGTCATTAAGTTGCCCGAGGCATTGGGGAAGCAAAATTGGAACCTTGGGATGGATGCTGGACATCACTTTTTCATGTTTGTCTGTTGACTTGTTTTATTTTTGTGTTTTTATTATTGCCGTTAGCCACTCACAGTTGTGTCTCACAAGATGGGCAGTCATATAAATCTAACAAGCAACGGAACAAACAAGAAAACAAATAATCCTAGGGAAACTGCACAATAGCGCCAGCCATCTGTCTGTAAGTGCCTATGATTCTCCTGTATAATTTGTGCTTTGCATGGCTTCGTGACCACGCCTGGGATTTAAGCAAAGGAACATGAAAAGTGCTCTGCATGCAAATACGCACTTCCCCAAAACCATTAAAGTAGATTTCCTCTCGAGATGGTTAGAAGAATGCAGCTGTTCTACATCTCATCTGTTGTCATGCTTTTTTTTTAAAAAAAATGATTTTCTATTAAATACATTTGTTAGTGCTTAATAAACATGGTATTTAATTTGCTTAATAATACAAATTTACATTCTTAATCTCTACCCCTTTTTAGCCAAGCATTGGTAAAATAGATTCCATGTTTGATAATATTCTACATCTTTAATTTTCAATGTCGATCTATCCATTTCTGTATAATCTAGTACAGTGATGGCTAACCTTTTCCGGACCAAGTGCCCAAAGCGCACGTGTGCACGCCCGAACCCCCAAAATGCAATGCACGTGCGCCCCCTCACATGTGCCCCCGTGGATGCATGTGGCCCCGTGTGTATGCATTCCACCCCCGTGCATGTGTGTGTGGGCCCTTGCACACAGCCCACCCCCCCACACATGCGCGGCAGAGACCCGACAACCAGCTGCCCGGCAGGAGGCGTGTGCACATGCGCAGCGCAGCTGAACTGGGGGGACGGCTCACATGCCCACAGAGAGGGCACTGTGTGCCATCTGTGGCATGTGTGCCATAGGTTCGCCATCATGGATCTAGTATCTTCTGACTATCTCTTCATCTCGCGGTACTGTATATCTTCATTTTTCCAGTATTGTGCCAATATAATCCTCGATGCTGTTAAGACATGTAATATTTACATACTCTTCTTATCCATTTTTTTTTTGATACTATACCTAATAAAAACAATAGTCATGCCTTTTAGATGTTATGGCAATTGTATTTTATTTTCTCACTAGACCAGATTCCCATATTTACTGGGAAACAATACATTGAATAGTAAAAATATTTGCTTCAAAACAGCACTGGGAGCCTCATTGATTTCAGAAGAAGCAATCAAAGAAACAGGACAAGTCACATTGAATATGATTGAGCCTTTGGAAAAACTCACCATTAATAAGCGCAATGTTCAAACCTCGACCAACATTATTTTTCACATTGCTCATTATCCTAAAAAAAAAAAAAATGCAAATGAAGAGAGATTGAGAGTTGAAGTTCAACCGGCATATACTGGAAAATGCAAAGCCAAAGTCTATGAAATGAATATGGACAAGTGCATCGACTGCACAGAACTTACATATTGCCATCGAAGCAAATGGAAGGACCAACCACATTTGCTGCACCACTGATGATTTTGAATGAAAAAGTATGTTCTGGACAAGGTCTTCTCTTATTGCACTTATTTTGTGCTAATGGTGGTTCTGGCAAGAAAATTCAGAAGGGATTTTTAAAAAAAGCATCCGGTAAATTATATTATATGAGAGATCTCCATTTTTCTCTTAATTGGGACCCATCTACCACATCATTGACACAAGCTCTGTACAGGTAAGTCCTTGACTTACAACCATTAAGCGACCATTCAAAGTTATCATGGCAGTCATTTATTTATTTTTTTACAACCAGTCCTTATACTTATGACTGTCACAGAATTCCCCACAAGTCACGTGATCAAAATTTGGGTGCTTGTATTTACAATGGTTGCAGTGTCCTGGGGGTGTGTCATATGATCCCCATTCATGACCTTCCCAGCTGGCTTCTACCAAGCAGAGTCAACGGGGGGCAGCCAGATTCCCTTAACAATCACACGATTCACTTACCAGCTAGAGTGGTTTGCTTAAAAACCATGGCAAAAGAGGTCATAAAATTGTGCCTTGCACAATGGAAATTCTGCTCCCTGCTGTGGTCATGTGTCAAGGACCAGCCTGTACATTTTCCCCAAATATTTCCAATCATTTTATGGGTGCATGGGACCAAGAATGATATTGGCCATCTTAGGCTTTCTGTTGAATTTCCATTTTGCTTTGTGATAGGCCCGTGATGGCGAACCTATGGCATGCGTGCCACAGGTGGCACACGGAGCCATATCTGTGGGCCCGTGAGCATTGCCCTATCATAGCTTCAGCGTGCAAGAGCGCACCAGCCACCTGATTTTTGGGTCATCCGGTCGCACTGGAAGTTGGGAAACATGCCATTTCCGGCCTCCAGAGGGCCTCGGGGGGGGAGGGGGAAAGGCTGTTTTCACCCTCCCCAGGCTCCAAGAAAGCCTCTGGAGCCTGGGGAGGGTGAAAAACAAGCCTATGGGGGCCACTGTGCCAAAAGCGGAGGGAGCACGGGTGTGTGTGTGTGTGTGCATGCGTGGGGGGCAGGGCACATTGAATTATGGGTGTGGGCACACATGCGCGCGACCCCCCGTGCTCCCCCTGCTTTTGGCACGCGACAGCAAAAAGGTTAGCCATCACTGTGATAAGCCTTTCTTGTCTGTTTCCACCCAGTGATGTCTTTTTTCTTTCTGAATGGTCAGGTCAAAGCCTTGTTAGTAACATTCTACTGGAAACCATATCAATGACCTTAATTTTATTGAGATACCAGCTGACAGGGTCAAGGGCAGAGTTTGGCTGTCTTAGAGCCGCTACTGATGTCTACTATGTATTCCATTTGATAGGTCCAGTCGGAGAATACTAATTGGAGCACTGCCTCCAGCCAGAGGTATCCAGATAACCCTGCCATGCATCATTGATAGTAGAAAGGATGCCAATGACCCCTCCAAATGTGGAGTCAGCCCATGCACCTGATGAGCAAAAGAAAGGAAGTAGGTCTCAGACATCACTTGGTGATCTCTATTAGTATTAGTGATTATGTCTGAGCTTGAACTGGTCCTAAAAACACCATTGTTGGGGGTAGAATTTGGTACTTTGGATTAGACGGAAAAGAACCAGGCACACTAAAAAGGATACCTTGGGCCTCTTATCTAAGGGACCAAGTATATGGGCTCCTTTCCTTTCTGTACCAATACATTTGTAAGGAAAGGAAAAAGTAAAAAGAAGCCATTTTTTCCTGGCCCTTAATTGAGGGGGAAAATATCACGGCAGCTTTGTCTTCTCATCTTTACAAGAAAGGAGACAAAGGTGTGCATGGAGAAGAATGTTGGCTGGAACAAGGAGAAGGAAAGTAGGCCTTGGACATTCTGGGGATGACCAATGTTTATTCTCAGGGGCTTTGTCCTAAAATTATAACCGCAGAAAACTCAGATCTGCAGAACTAGCATTCTGATACAAAGGTAAAAAAAGAAAAGAAATAATACTGAAAGAAATGTACTCACTTGTACTTGAGTTAGTGTGGGACCCTGCAGAAGCCATCAGAAAAGACAAAACAGAATATTTTAAATCAGATTAGAATCAACTCTCTTACTGATTGGATTTGAGAGCCTCCGGAATAAGAGGGACCAAAATCTTTTGGTCTCATTCATTTAAAAGTTGACCACTTAAAATATGCTATGGATTACAGTATAGTTCCTTATCCGCACAAAAATATCTCTGAGGTAACCCTCATGCTTTGTAAGCAAAGAAAAGCTTTGCCTCACAAAATCCTAAGACTAATTTTTTTGTTAAAAGAAAGAGATAATGGAAATAGATATTGCATGCTTCCATGATTCATCAAAATAGATACAATAAGGTTGGAAGCAATTTTCCCTCAAAGTCTAGTGGCCTAAAATAATTCATTTACTCTCTATATTTAAATAAGATGTTATCGCTAGGACTCCTAAAGGATTATTTATAAATTTAAATAATTTATCTCTTTAATTTCCTACTTGTTTCCCATAATTCAGTGAACTGATAAGCTGTAATAATTTAATTGCATAACATGGCATGAATACATATGTGAATAGTTTTTATTGTACTTGAAAGATAAAGATTTTTTTGCAGTGTTTTCCTTCTTTCTTTCACTTCCTTCTCTTTTATGTATACAATATAATACATGAAAGAGATACTATTGCAGTGAAATTTGGCTAGTCTGGGGTTGGTTATTTCAGGCTGTGTTGATGAAATTCAGCAGAAGAGCTGAATGCAATGGTGCAATTTCCTACCACTTGAAGATTACTGAGAATTGAAGAGAAGTGATGGAATTAATTGGTCTCTGGAAGGCTTTCATTTCCACTGTAAAACTCACAAAATTTGCCTCAACACTTGCAATAATATCACACACTCACAGCCCTCTTCAGTCTTCCAGAGGTTCAGGAGACTGAGCTATGACTTCTGAATTGCAAAAGTTACCTAAATCTCATCTACTACAAAACCTAGTTTGACTTTGGAGACCAGGAATAGAATTATGCAGGACTTCAGTCTTCTTATCTGAGGTCTGAAAGCAAGGAAGAAGACATAAGTGTAGTCATAAACTCTCAAAATCCTCTCTGTGCTTTATCTTCTTAGGTTGAGTAAAAAAATCCCCAAGGAGTCTTCTATTTGTGCTTTTTGGATCTTAAGTAGAACCAACATGTACTAGAGAAAGTTATTAAAGGAAGCTTCTCATTATTAAAGAAAAATTCTACTGCTATTCACAAGTGGAATCTCCATTAGATGTTTCTCCTTGACTTCCAAGGGGAATGGAGATTAGAAGGTGGAGGATTGGATTTGCATGTAAAAAAGAGTTTATATCATAACTTTTAGCCCTGAGATGATATGAGCATACAGAACATTTATTAACTCACATTTCTACCTGTCCACAGTCCAAAGACTCTTGGGGGGTAACATTAGGAAATATTTGCCAAATTCAGACGGAATTTCAGATGATTTATTTGTTAAACATTTTCTCTACTGGTTCCCATTAAAAGAAAATATCAAAGCAGTTTAATCAGTACAAAACAATATAAAGCAGGAAAACAGGAAGGAACAAGACTATTATGAATCTGAAACATGATCTCTGTACTATACTCCAGCAGAAGCCAGAAACAACATCTGATCCTAGGGTCCACATATACTCCCATCAAGACAAATAATCAAGACAAATAAAGAGGGAGTCAAGCTATTCTCCAAAGCACCTGAGGGTAGGACAAGAAGCAATTGGTGGAAACCAGTGGTGAAATCTAAAATTTGTTACTACCGGTTCTGTGGGCATGGCTTGGTGGAGGGTGTAATGTGATTGGGTGGGCGTGGCCAATTTTTTTTTACTTTTAAAACTATCTTTTCTACAACCTCTTCTGTGAAGAGGTTGTAAAAAAATGCTTTTAAATGGCTCTGATAATCCCAGCTGAGTTGCCTGATCGGCAGAGAGTTTTTAAAAAATACTCTGACAATCAGGCAACTCAGCTGGGATCACCAGAGCTTGGATCGTCAGAGCCATTTAAAAGAAAAAAAGCCTCTGATGATCGCACGGCTCAGCTGGGCATGGGGTGGGGGGCAGGGATTTTTGTTACTGGTTCTCCGAACCACCCGCCTCCATCGCTACCTGATCAGATGATCCGGTCTGAACCAGGAGCATTTCACCCCTGGTGGAAACTAATCAAGGAGAGAAACAATTTAGAACTAAGGAAAAATTTCCTGACAGTTAAAACAATTGATCAGTGGAACAACTTGCCTCCAGAAGTTGTGAATGCTCCAACACTGGAAGTTTTAAAGAAAATGTTGGATAACCATTTGTCTGAAGTGGTGTAGGGTTTCCTGCCTAAGCAGGAACCTCCAAGGTCCCTTCCAACTCTGTTATTCTAAAATTCTAAATTTCAGGGATAAATGTTCCAGTGAATGAAACTGTTCTCACGTTAACCCTTATTTCCAACCACCCTCTACCAAATCTTTCTCTGCTCTGGTGGAAGCTATTATTATAATCTTCTTCTGCAGAAAGGAAGTCTTCTTCTATTTAGAGTAGAGAGAAAAGACAATCCTTCCTAATTTTTCTTAGAGGAATGTTCAATCCAAGTCACATCTTAAATATGGAAGGAAGATTTGATCTTTTCCTTCTCTTACATTATAAGAACACGAGCCTGGGGAAATTGTAGGAGAAGACCTGTTTCACCTTATGGTGACAAAAAAAATCAGGAGTCCTTTTCTGACCAACACATTTTATCAAAAGTCACACATTTTTGTGAGATGCAGCTTACTTCCTCTAAAGAAGTTAAATCAGATAAAGGGGCCGTCAGGACCGTCCTGAGGCTGGTGGAAAATTCTTCTCTTCCACCTGTGCCTTTTTATTGGCCTTTTCGAGAAACATGTTAAAAAAAAAAGTCAGAAAGCAAACTCAGTCTTTCTTAATAGCCCCCCCCCCACTGCAGCAGATATTTTGTACCCATTAAGAAAGACTGGGCCAGCCTATCTACAAAACAAAAGACCTTCAGCTCCAGGGTGATGGGATTAAGAAGAACAGGACAGGATCCTTCAGGACATAATAGTATTAACCAGTGGTGGGATTCAAGTAATTTAACAACCAGTTCTCTGCCCTAATGATTTCTTCCAACGACCAGTTTGCCAAACTGCTCAGAAAGTTAACAACCGGTTCTCCCGAAGTGGTGCGAACTGGTTGAATCCCATCACTGGTTGTGGCCCACTACCATTTAGCAGAAGACACAGAGCTCACTACATTGCACAATCTCCTAAGGGTGTTTCAGTCATCGCATCATCTCAGAGCAGTCCAAACTTCAACCAAACTTGGGAGCTCAGCCTAAGATTTGCATTTCCTCTTCTGCCTATGGAGCCAGCTATGACCCCTACATAACCCCTACATGACCCCATAGGGATCTGAAAACAGTCAACAGAATACATGTTCTTGTACAGGAGCAGGAAGCTCAAATACAAAGCCCAAGAGAAGGAATAAAAACCACCCACTCTCAACTCCATTTTGTCAGCTGCACCAGAACTACAAACCTTGGTGGTTCTGCTTCATCATTAAACCATCTTTCCAAGCAGCCTCCATGTTTCCAGTTCCAGCTTGGAACTGAACCCGATGGATTTTTCTTCCAACAATGTCATGCAGACAAACCATATTTCCCAGGACTACAGTTTAGATTGAAAAGATGGAAAACTTTTTTTTAGTAGATGGCATTTCATCTGCTAAACTGGAAGAAGAGCCTAGTGGGCAAAAGAAGAAGGGAAAAAAAGATGGAATGGAACAGAGATGAAAGAAGTATAATTTATTATAACTTACTCAGCCACGTCTTCACACTGATTGAATGCGTGCTTGTGTTCTTCAAATAGGTGCTGGCAAAAAGCCAGGTTGCAGCTAAGGTAAACACCATCACCACGATCCTCAGCACACCTAGGCCAGGAGGAAGACAAGGTCAGGTACAAGATAAATTGAGAAAGCTGGGTGTGTTGCAAAACTCATAAAAACTAATCCTTGCTCTGCAGCCTAAATGTCAACAATATAATCTCTCTGGTTAGTCAAATAAAGTGTAACTTTTTAGAACTGGAATGCTATGGATGAATCAATCTTTTCCAGCTAAGAAATATCAGAAATCCTTCTAAAGTATTGTCTATTCTCACTGGCAGCAAGAATCCAAAATCTCAGGTACCCATGGTGAGCCATGGTGGCGCAGTAGTTAGACTGCAGTACTGCAGGCTACTTTTGTTGCCTGCAATTTGATAGTTCAAATCTCACCAGGCTCAAGGTTGACTCAGCTTTCCATCCTTCTGAGGTGGGTAAAATGAGGACCCAAATTGTTGGGGGCAATATGCTGACTTTGTAAACTGCTTAGAGAGGGCTGTAAAGCACTGTAAAGTGGCATATAAATCTATAAATGCTATTGCTATTGCTATAGAAGGGTGTGTCTCCTTTTATGTGTCATCTCATTTTCATGCAATCTATTCAACAGTCCATGGTTAAAACAATCCATGGCTTATGGCTTGTTCAACCTCTGTCAAGATTCATATTTCTACCAAGTCGCACTGTGGTTTGTCTGGATTTTGTGAATTGTAAACCATGGATTATGGCTTGATACATGATGTGTAAAACCAGCCACCAAGTTGTTACGCAGCTATTCATAAATCGGCCAATAAACAAGGATGATAAGATGGAAAATGAATGATCCTTTGAATAATGGAGGTCAGAATGGAGAAAATATGTAAGCCAAAGCTAGGTGAGGGCAAATCCAGGTGCTGAATTCAGTCCTTTATATTTTCAAATATAACTCACTGGAGTTATATATATATACTCCAAACTCACTGGAGAAGAGCCTAATGCTGGGAAAGATTGAGGGCAAAAGAAGAAGGGGACGACAGAGAATGAGATGGCTGGAGTCACTGAAGCAGTCTGTGTGAGCTTAAATGGACTCCAGGGGATGGTAGAGGACAGGAAGGCCTAGAGCAGTGGTTCTCAACCTGTGGGTCGGGACCCCTTTGGGGACCCTTTCACAGGGATCGCCTAAGACCATCAGAAAACACATATTTTCAATGGTTTTAGGAATAATTTTATTATTGGAGGTCACCACAACATGAGGAACTGTATTAAAGGGTGGCAGCATTAGGAAGGTTGAGAACCACTGGCCTAGAGGAATGTTGCCCATGGGGTTGTGATCGGTCGGACATGACTTCGCAACTAACAACAACAAATTTTCAAATAACAAAATTATATTTTGTGAGGAAAACTTTCCTCACAAAACCCTGGAAAATTAACAATGATGAGATACCTGTTTTTGGAAGGACTATCATAACCAACTTGTACAAAGACAGAGATAGTGAGGAGGAGGAGAAGAAGTGGCCACAGATTTCTGAAAGTGGAAATATAACTCATAAAACTTTAATCAAGGGAAAACATTAAGATCCCAAGAATCGAACCCTTCAGTTCATTCTCTGGATTCCCTATTTAACACAGTATGCTTGAACAAGCTGAAGCAAACTCATAAAGAGAGAAACAAAGGCAGATACAATGATTTTAGGCTGTAGCGAAATTTTGTTTCAGAGCCTGAACCTTACAATCTTTCTACAGAATAAATTTTCTATCAATCTAGATTTGAATTCTCCAGGTCATTTACTTAAGGAGACAATCCATGTATTTGATTATTCCAGCTGTGAGCATTCTTGCAAATTCCCATGCTAGGTGATATCAACTTTGGGAGTTGCATATTTTTTGTTTCTGTGTTAATTACCCTTGCGTGCCACAAGGAATGCCATGGATGTTGCAGTTTAGAAGTCAAACAAATAATCAGATGTCTGTTGGGAAGAAGGGCATGAAATGCCATTTTCTATTCATTTGCCAGCCAGGGGATTTAAAATACGAATCTGCCCATCCAGGCAGGCAGGCCGGCCACTGGCTTAGATAGAGAGAATAGTGGCCTCAATATGGACTACTAGAGAGGACAAAGTACAGTTCCTTTGGGTCAATAATTCACTCTCCACTTGTAATGCTATGGGGAAATGATCTTGAGAAATGGGGAAGAGCTATAGCAAGTCAGATAAGAGACAGCTTAGCCTGCAGTAGGAATGTGATTGTGGCAAGTGGCGCAGACTGTTTCTAGCTTCTTAGGCTGTTAAGGCAACAGGGGAGGAGAAATCCATTTCCAGATTTGTGGGATTCTGTTAATGTAGCCTTACAATAAAGTAGACTCTGGTCATATTTTCTCTCTAGACCCCACACAAGGCTGACACAACTCCATCTAATTAATATGGTGGTAGGGAAAACAGGAGGAAAATTAAGCCAACCCTACAACTGTAACTCAAATCCTCTCCTTGTTTTTCCATTCCCGAGATCTTTTATCTGACCCTGAAAGAGAAGGAACTTTGAAGTTGGACAATATCCTAGATCTTTACAAAGCTGCTAGACTAGTTAGTTCCCACACTCTGGGTGAGGACTCAGAAACTGTCCATGTGTAGTCAGTGCCTCGAATGAATGGGCAGCCACTAAAAGGAGCATTCAAAAAGCAGGGTGCTGCTGGACAGATTGTTCCTCTGGTGGCTTGTTTAAAAGAAGGATTTATATCTACCCATTGTGGAGCCCTGAACTATCCCCCTTTGAGCCACAAAACAATCTTTTGTCCATAGGAGCATCTATTCTTGTGCAACCAGTGAGAAATAGACATTACATCTTTAGTTGGCCCAGATGTTAGTCTGAGGTTTCCTAGAGTACAGAATATAGGAGTCAGGGATGGGAGTATGACTCCATGGCGATGCATGAAACAAACAGCTTTGCATGACCAGTCCAATGTTAGGTTGATGGAAATCCCTTTCATGATATTTATTTTCAAAAGGAAAAAAAACTGAATTGTAACTGTAGGCATGCCTATGTGCAAGTTAATTTCCCCCCTCCCTATTCCTGCTTTGTGTTTTGATAATGATGCTAGATTTGCTTGACACATCTGTTAGTTGTCATGCTGGCAAAAGTTTTTTCTGATAGAATCAGGAATATCTGCTTTATCTAAGGAGCTGACATTTGGGAGCTGACATCTGGGACGTTATGGACTAACGTCCATAAGAGCCTTGGTAGCGCAGCAGACTAAAGCACTGTTAAGTAACACCAGCTGCCTGCAATTACTGCAAGTTCAAATCTCACCAGGCTCAAGGTTGACTCAGCCTTCCATCCTTTCGAGGTAGGTAAAATGAGGACCCGGTTTGTGGGGGCAATAAGCTGACTTTGTATAAAAAAGAACACCGCTTGGGGGGGTCTGAAAGCCCTACTAAGCAGGTATATACAAAAGTATGAAGGCTATTGCTTAACGCACTGTAAGCCGCCCTGAGTCTCCGGAAAAGGGCGACATATAAATCGAACCAATAAATAAATAAATAAACTCCTAAAATATCTTCTAAAATACCCCAGAAAATGGAAAGTGAATGGCAATGATCAGCTGTGAGAATCAAAAACAAAACTTTTGAATCTTTTTTCTTTTCTTATCAGAGCCTGTTTCATTGCATTGCATTGCATTGCATTGCATTGCATTGCATTGCATTGCATTCATTCATCGTATTTCGATCCTGCTCATCTCGCCTAAGTAACTCTGTTGCTTACCTGCTACTCGCATGTTTTTATTCCAGTGAAGTGAAAGATATACGGAAGCTTATCAGAAAGGACACCAGCTAACCTGTTGAAGCAAAAAGACCAAAGAACTTACTTGGAAGAATATTAACTGCTGTAGAATTAAGCAATATGTAGTAAGATGTGGAGAGAGTTGTTTTGATGTGTGAATAATTCAAACATGTCCATAATTCCTCACCATGAATGACATGGACATTTACTGCTGGTTGATAAACGACAGAAAATATTTTTATTTAATACACCGATTCCTCAACCTTCTTCAATCTACAGTATGTATTACTTTCTATGGAGCTGCAATGAAGATTGGTTTAAGGACCGTTGCGTTGGTGAATTTCATGCCTGATCAAGGATTTCATGCTAACCACTCTATGACACACATTGATTTGAATATTACTAAACTTGTGATGACTGGAATCCTGGGAGGTGACAGTTAAAAAAATTCAAGATGGCAGCAACAACCATGTAAATGAAGCACTGCTCCCATTTAAAGTATATTGCCTATGCAATGCCTATAAGAAGGGCTTTGATTGTAAATGTGCAGCCTGATAGACACACTGTGGATGTCCTGGTTTTCACCGGGCCATCTCAGACAGCAAAATATTTTATGTTGATCTTATACAGATTAAAAGAAAAAACCCACTATGCTGCTTAAGAGCAAGCAGGCATTGTTTATTGCAGTGGTGAAATCCTCCGTGGATCACCAACGGTTCGCTGTCCGCATATGTGCGACGTGCGCCAGATGCACGCTGCGTGCGCACATGCACAGTGCACACCAAACGTGTGCTTTGGACGTAAAAAAAGAGACTTCACTAGGTAAGTTGAACAGCAAGGGGGGGTACAGCTGTGCCACACGATTTAGCAAATATAAACCGCGTGGCACAGCTGATCATCGGAAATACCGGTTCCGACGAACCGATAGCTTTTTTTAACCTTCTTCAATCTACAGTCTCGAATTGGCCTTTTTAGTCACACTAGATGCTGTTTTAGGATCTCTTTCCAGAGCAGGATACCATAGTCTTTTGAGACTGAAGGATGCCAATGCCAATCTACGGTATGTATTACTTTCTATGGAGCTGTAATGAAGATTGGACTGGCAGCTTTTTTTTTTACTGCCGGTTCACCTGAATTGGTAGTTTTTATCACTACTGGTTCGCCCGATCTGGAGTGAACTGGAAGCATTTCACCCCTGGTTTATTGTTTCTAGTTCTTCATACGTTTTATTGTACTCTCCTGGCAGTTTCCTGATTCTTTTAATCCCCTAGCAAAACACCTCTGCTTTAATTGCCATTAAAACGAATGAATAAACAAAATGTAGAAAGGGGATATTGAAGGTTTTTTCTTTTCCAATTCTCTTTTTCTTTTCCTCAACTTTTTCTTCACTATGGATCCCCTTTAAATATCCTTTGTGACCACGATCACCATGGATCATGGCTATGGATCCCCAAGACTTAGCTCAAGATTTAAATCATAACATCTCTTCAAGCCTTTGAGGACCCTTCCCAGGATGACATCATGCCCCCTCCCCCAGGGATTTGCGGACCACAAGTTGAGAAACATTGTCTTATGCCATTTTTACGCCTCTTTCTCTTTAACATTTGCTGGAGAATACAACAAGGAAGGGCGATTGCTTTCATACCTTACTTCTGGGATTCACACATTAGCATCTGACTAACTTATGGAATTCAGATGCTGGATTAGATCAGTCTTTGCTTGAATTAACTGTGATCTCTTTGGACTGTAAGACCCCAGAAACCAAGATTTGCATGAAAAGACATATTAGACTTTTAGTTTGATGGCAGTCATGTTAACACTGGAAACATGGTCTGGAAGATAGAGCTGTATTCTAGAGGATGTGATCAGCGATATATTGATGGCCCTTAATGACTCCTGGACAGGAGAATCTGGAAGTGGAAATCACTATGTTAGGAGATATATTAACTTGAGTCTTTACACAGTGATTTCAGCTCTCAGAATCTCCTATCCAAGGAGATATTAAGATGGGGCCATCAATATCTCACTGATCACATCACAGATTTCTGCAACATCACCAACCAACATGAATGGTTTATCAAATTTCAGGACTTGAAAGCGGGGTGAAATTCAGCAGGTTCTGACAGGTTCTGGAGAACCGGTAGCGGAAATTTTGAGTAGTTCAGAGAACCGGCAAATACCACCTCTGGCTGGCCCCAGATTGGGGTGGGAATGGAGATTTTGCAATATCCTTCCCCCAGGAGTGGGGAGGGAATGGAGATTTTGCAGTATCCTTACCCTGGTGTGCGGTGGGAGTGGAGATTTTGCAGTATCCTTCCCCTGCCATCTCCACCAAGCCATGCCCTCAGAACCGGTAGTAAAAAAAATTGAATTCTACCACTGCTTGAAAGGGTTGGGGGGAGGAGGTTGAGGATAGTTTCAAGGACTGCAAAAATGAGACTATAGACTGTCATTTGCTCACCTTTGCATTAAAGATATATGAAGTACATAAAGGTACATGAAATGTTCTAGTTACATCCCAAAATAAAAAATAATAGGCCAATTCTTGAATGTGTAAACTGATGTATCCACAAAGGTTTTTAGAAAGATAGATGTTTGGTCATAATCCTATTGCTCGAGGAAGAAAATAATTTTGCCTAAAGAATATTAGAATTGTTATGCTCCAAGAGAGAGGGAAAAAAAATGTCATGACTAAATTCTGTGTTCCAGAGAGACACACTTAAGACGTGAAATAGATTTTAAAATTAATTTGTGTTCAGCTCCTTTATTCTTAGAATACCTATCTCCAGGGGTGGGCTTCAAAAATTTTAACAAGGGGTTCTCTGCCTGATTGGTGGGTGGGTGTGGCCATGGTGGGCGTAGCCTAGTCAGCCTCCTGCACCACGGTGGGGGGGGTGGATTTGTGCCCTCCCCGGGCTCTGGAGGCTTTCCTCGAGCCTCCAGGAGGGTGAAAATGGGCTCCCCAGGCCCTTCCCAAACTTCTGGTAGGCCCGTTTTTTGCTCTCCCCGAGCCTCCGTGCTTGCCCTGCACTTACTTGTATCTAAAATGGGCCACGTGGGGATTCCTGGGAGGGGTGGAGTGGGAGGGGCGGGGCCAGCCAGGAGTGGGATTTGGGGGTTCTCCAAACTGCACAGAATTTTAGCTAGAGGTTCTCCCAAACCCCTGCAAACTCCCAACAGCCCACCCCTGCTGATCTCTCTACAGAAGGGAGCTCATCCTGGTTACTTCAGGTTAAGGAAAAGAAATTACAGAATTGCAGACCCCAGATCATTTTTGTTTTTTAGATGATATCCTTGGAGAAAACCATACTCCCTCTAACTCTGACAGGGCAAACCACCGTCAAGTGCCAGGGAAATCAGGAGATCCAGGCAGTTCGAATGGGTATAAAGAAGATTTATTGAAAAGCTCTCTACAGGAATCTGAACTACTAATAAGTCCAAGCAACTGGTGGTAGATAAAAGACACAGGAATTCAAGGTGGGCTGAACTTAGATCTTTTGTGGGCGCGAAGGGACTGATGGCTGATGACATGTCTGACTCCTCCATCAGGCTTAGCCTGGTCATCTCCTAAACATAAAAAAGAGAGCAAACCCCATTCCTTCTAGCAGTGAAGATGTTAGTAACAAAACGTCTGCAAGAAGACAACCAAGTTGTGATGAGAAATTCAGTGACATTCTGAAAGGTGATATGAGTTGACCAAGGATGGATGTCCTGTTTTACTGCACAAGTAATTTCTCTAGAGGACTGCAGTTTTTCTCAAGAGATTTAACTACATTCCAAGATTGTTCCATGGAGCTTTTTCAGACTGAAGAGGATGGGCAGCTTAAGATAATGGACTGCGATGGAAAAATATGACCAGGAAACACTGTTGCCTAATGCTTTTTACTTTACTATTCAACACAAACCAACGCACAGGCTTCTTTAAGCCAACAAGAGTTTAGCTCTTTCTATTTTCCCTTTCTTCCCCTTCTGCTTCCTCTTTCTATTCCCCAGAGAATTGATTGTAACTGTTTTTCAATACAAGGGTTGTAAGGTGGTTTACAGGAGATCCGGCTTCACTTTGATGCCTTCAGATTAAAAGTTTAAAGAGAAAATAATTGAGTTAAGCACGTAATCACAGTACAAAGGTATCACAAAGGTAAACACAGCTGTGTAATCCACAAGTGGAAATCTATTTCTTGTCTAAACAAGGATGCTGAACAAATCAAGGAACAAGCTATAAGGAACAAATCAAGGAACAAACTATAAGGAACAAATCAAGATTACAGTGTTTATCCAAATCATTGCCCTCCAGAAGTATAATAATATGCTTTGAGATGGTGACTATTGCAATGAAGATTGGGAGAAAGCTGCTTGGTACAGTCGATATTTCAATAAATGCATTTAATTTTGCATTTCAAAAATCATATGCAACTCACAGCTCTGTGAATTTTGCAATGCCATTTATTAACCCTCCCATCCGGGGAACGTTTATTAGGAAAATACCTGCTCAGAAATACACATTATGATTAAAATAATTAATAAAAATGCACTGTAGCACAGAAAATGACTTACATCATCCAGGTCACTTTCTTATTATTTGTATATCCCTTTTAGTTATTAAGACAATGTACTTTTGTATGCACAGTGCGATTTTTTTTTGATGTTTCTTGTATCCTGCCATTTTTAAATCCACTTTCAAATCAGTCTCAATAAATGAAATAAATAAAACAAATTCCTCTTCCATAACATATTTTAAACAGAATCTATCTACAGTATATAGGCAGACACTTTTTATTATTATTTATTATTTATTATTCAAATTTCTATACCGCCCTTCTCCTTTCGGACTCAGGGCGGTGAACAGCCAAGATAAAAACATCTATACATAACATCACAGTTAAAAATAAAGTTAAAATAATTTATAAATTTGGCCCATAATTTAAAACTTGTCAATTAAAATCAATATTAAAATTTTAAAACTAACCCTAAAATCAAGACAGATCGGCTAACTGAAAAAAATAAGTTTTTAGGGCCCGACGAAAAATCCGGAGGTCGGAGATCACTCGTATCTCT